TTTTTCTGAGTGGCAAAATACTGAGGTGTTGTTTGTTTGTTTGTTCAATTTAAGTGTTATTGTATTATTACATGAAATTATTCTAATTTATTTTTGTTCTTGATAAATTCATTAAAATATTGCTGATTATCATGGAAAACCAGCCCCCCCCCCCCCCCCCCAATATCTTATTGAAGGATTGTAATCATAGGATTGGCTGACATCTAAAAGCTCACCCACATTTTATTTGGCAGATAATTGTGATTTATTGGGTTTCAGTATTCTGACTTGGACGTAGGATTGCACATTTTTTGTATATCAGAGTTTGTCCGGAATTCTTCATTTAATGAAAACATGAACCCTATGCAGTATATGCTCACCATGGAGAAAACCAAATCCATTTGACATAAAACAATTTAGAAATTTAGAAAACCTGGGAATGTCTGAATTAAAACTTTTTTATTCTCATCATTCCCAGTGGCTGCTTTGGGAACAATAAACTAAAATGGTTTGGCATTCTGCTGAGGAGCATAAGTTTTTGAGTTCTTATAAGTTTCGCAGATTTCCACAAGATGCTTGCTTAATTAGGTCCTTTAGATTCAGGTTACTAAAAAACTATTAAAAATTTTAAATTGCAAATATGAAAAAGTATTCACCTGTTGCTTGGAAATTGAGTAATTCAAACATGAATTGACAGTGATACAAACTTCTTTCTAGAATGTCTGAAAAGTACAATATGTCACAAACTCTCATGTGGCTGGTTTCGAAGAATTACAATAAATCACATTCTGTCATGTGACTGGTTTTGAAAAAGTACAATATATCGCATACTGTCATGTGACTTAACTGCAATATACTGTTTGACTTAATTGTTCTTTCATTATTTGTTTACAGCAGTATTTGACAGTGTTATCTGAGCATCATGTCTCAGAATTGGAACGACCATGACCATGACGCAAACAACACATCTGGAGGAGCTGACAGTGATGATTTGTCTAATGATGCAGAAGGTGTCTGGAGTCCAGATATAGAACAGAGTTTTCAAGAAGCGTTAGCTATATACCCACCTTGTGGTAGAAGGAAAATCATACTCTCAGATGAAGGCAAAATGTATGGTAAGTGTGACCTATACCACCCCTTTTAGTACAGTGGTTGAGTCCTGGCTGATTTAAGTTGGTCATGTACGGTTATGGTGCGGTTACGGTGCGTTCACATGCGGTGTACCACAAGTAAAATACAATGCTTTCTCAAAATTTGTACATGGCTGTGCTTGAGTTTTACTGGCCAACCTAAGGCTGGTATCGCCCATTATGTACAAGACTTGAGCCATGTTTTACAAATCTTGATATCCCGCCTGCCAGGAGATCCCTGGTAAGAGATCTGAAATAAAAAAAAAACCATGGCTATACAGGAATTATGTTGCCAAACAATTATTCTAAGAAGTGAAATAAAGACCTGGCTGCTCAATAAATAATTGATTTTTTTTGGTGCAAATAGAGGATTATTATATAATTTGATAAATAAATGTATTAGTGGTTCCAGGGTGATTTTCTCATTTCTGAAATAATTATTAAATACTGTAGAATACTTTATTTTCGTTTGGAATTTATTTTCGCTGTTTAAATATACTTTTTTTCACATTAAACTCATTAAAAATAAGTAAAATAAATTCAATACAAAGCGCCCAAAAAGCCTTTTCAGCGAAAATTAATTCCAACGAAAATAAAGTATTCCACAGTATCACATGCATCCTTCTATTTGGGGTCTGTGCCCTGTTTCGATTTACATCAGATCACAAATTTAGAATCGCAAAGACTGATGTTAACATCCATGTACAGGGCAATAATCTGCCTGCCTGTATTCCACAGTATATTTGCTCAGATAGAAGTACCCCCTCCCTCCAAACAGAGATGTATGCAATACAAATTGATTTGATGATCCCTGTATGTTAATTTTTTAACATGTCCTTTAGGTAAGGATTCTCACAGTCGGAGCTACGTCACGATCCCCCAAACGTTGCCAGGACCAATCACAAACAGGAAAAGACAATGAATTTTCGGATTAACACCTCTGTTTTCCCCCACGCTAACCAAATTTTCCCCACGTTAACGAAAAAATCTTTTGTTTTCCACTGGCTTCCTGTTCCGGTCCGTCTGTAAGAATGAACACTTTCAACAGAAAATGTATTGTAATAATTTACCATTCGTTAAAGTTAGCAGAATGGAATGGTTTAGTTGTCAGACGGGTTATATCAAGGAGCTTTATAGGACTGACGCAAATAATTTGATTCACTCCTTTCTTTTCTCTTCCTTATAAGCTGACCTAAGCACTTAGGCAAATAAAGAGTATACAGCTCACTATTACTGGAGCAAAGAAATAACACACAAGTTAATAGGGGTCAATTCTACATACAGATGTTTTTCATTTCACTGTAAGCACACCTGTTAAAATTTATGAAATTAAACAAGCCCAGAGGTCGGTTGAAATGCGATCTCCTCTGTCAATATCCCCTTTTGTTGGCAGTTCAGCAGGGGTCAGGGTAGATAGTAATTCTGGATGGTTTGATTTCTTCCAGGAATGTGATCATGGTATGTTCTTTAGATGTATATGTGTAGGGGCCCCCATGGTGATCAGAGTCTTCCTTAGAAGGTGGGCTGTTAATTGCCCCTATTTAAAAAGGAAGCCAACAGCTGCATTCTGCTGCATGATCTTGTTCCACTTATGTGCTATGGGTATATTCCCAAATTGTTGCACATTTGTTTCTCTCTATGCTGCAATACATAAAGGGTCTGTGAACAAGTTTAGAATAGTGAGTGCGAGTTTGGTGTACTTGTGATCGTACAAGCATTTTGCGTCACCAACACCTGAATTTTTTCTTCTTGTACTGTATATTAGAAGCACACATCAACTAAAGTTGCTGGGACATTAAAAGATAATTTATTTTGGATATAGACGTACATACTGGGTCATTTATGCTACATATTCGCTACATCTAGAAAAGGGCTGTATTTTTTCCTGGTATAAATTATCCTTTAAATGCTCAAGTAAACAAAATAGTTGTATGCACCTCATGTTCGTATTAATTAAGCAATTTGCTTATTAGTAAACTTTTGAATTCTAAAGTCAACTTTCAAAATTAGTTCAATGTACTTGTTTGTGCATATTAATTAGATAATTTGCATATCAGTTACCCTTTGAATGCCTAAGTCAATACTCAACAAATAGTTCTATAAATTTGTTGTGCATATTAATTAGGTAATTTGCATATCAGTTTCCCTTGAATGCCTAAGTTGACCATCAACAAATTGTTTTATGAATTTTGTGTGCATATTAATTAGGTAATTTGCATATCAGTTACCCTGGTATGAAAAAAGCCATATATTACTATAGATAAATCTCATTGTTAAATTTTTTTTGAGTTTTCAGTATACTATTTTACTAATATATACATGTACAACAAAGCTTTCTCCCATAATGCATTGCTTAATATGTATAGTAACATGCTCAATAGTGCAACATTTGAATTTGTGGTCTTTGCCCTCGAACCCTCAAACTCTTGAATCAAATTTAAACTGTTTGTCGAAAACTAACCTCTAAATATTTCTGTGGGAGAGCAACAACTAATGGATTCACTGCCAGGGCCTCATTCACCTGATAGCTTGCAAACTATGCTAAGAATGTTCTTGTGATCAAGTAAAAAACTTACACATTCCTAACATAGCTGGGAAAATAACATGAACTCTTTCAATCTGAAAGCGGCATCCCCAGGCTATTAGGAATATTGACATTTGAACCCTTAAGTTTGTGTTTGATAGCATGTTCTCACAATACAGCTAAACCATCAAACCACTTTATCTGTGATAGTAGGGCAACCGAGTTTTTATTTCTGTTTACTTTTCCCCAACAGAAACTCAAGTTTTCTGTTCATTGTCTCTATTTGTATGTGTTTTCCTTCAATGGCGTTTTATGGCTAGAGAGAAACTCTACTACTACCATCACATAACACATGTTGACTCAATTAGTCTGGCTGCACATTTTATACAAAATTTTAAAAAGGAGTTTGTCTTTTCCGCTGTTACTGAACCCCCCCCCTTTTTCACCAATAAAAAATAATCAAGGGAATGTATGTACTTGATTTGTTTTTGTGTTTGCAAAGTTAAAATGTACATGTATAGGATTTCAATATTCAGAGAGGACTTGGAATACATCCCGATACTTTCACTGGTATGAAAATCAAAAATGAATTTATTTTATCAATATTTCAGCAGTTTATCCGTTACTTAGCTATTTGGGTAAAACGTGTCAGTTCAGAACAGAAAGATGCATTAAAATCCTCCAATTGTGCATGTTTGTGATGTCATAGCGATGAAAGTACCAGGATGTGTGACCTTTAGGGGTCACGAAAGAAGCATATTACCTCTGATGCACTACTGCCTTGGTGCCTTTAAATTTTCATCACGGGATGTCAATGAGATCAAGGGCCTTGAATGCATTTTTAAAATGTTTTTTCTCAAAAACGAATGCACTTATAATTAAAAAGTAAATCTCTTCAAGTATAGTATAACTGTACAAAGCTAAAAAAAAAAATAATAAAACACAAATCAGAATTATAGGTTTCCTGTCTGCTGTATTCATCATTACTTGCAGTGGCACAAACTTCTCCAGGCGGTAGTATGATACCCTATAACTACACGTTACTGTCTTGAATTATCACTGTGTCAGATCGGTTTTCATACTCTGATCTTATGCATGTTCATTTCATAGGAAATCAATTATAAAGTTACATTATTATATGAATATTGAAAACCGACCTGATCCTTTCATTGTATTTTGTCGCCTTCTGCATAAAAGTTCCGTATTGAATATGATTCCCATTATAGGTAGCAATCATAGCTACTAACTATAATATAAAAGCAGTATTATTTCGAAATTAATAATTAATTTTTGAGAAATGACGGTAAGCTTGCAATGATTTAAATCAGAGAGGGTTTACAATAGCCTGCAATATTTGAACATGTCAATTTTGACCCTCAATCCTGTTAGCTTGAAAACGATTAGACCACGCTGCCCAAGTTGTAATGAAAAATATAATTTTGCCATTTTCTTTTTATAGTATCAGAAGGGTATGTACAAATGTATCATGTTTTGGAAGAAGAAAATCAACAACACAGACACATATCAATCAAAAATTGTAGTTGCTGTATACTAAATCATTGAAATATTATTTATTTTTAGCATAGAAAAATCTCTGTAAATTATGCAAGTGCATTGAACTTATGTTTGATGTGATGACACGTTGTATTGATGAAGCATACCCTATTTTTTTTTTATCAAGGTGCATTGTCAAACAAAAATATTTCAACTTCCCCCAAAATCCCCCAAAATTTCATTTGTTACTTCATTAGTCACCCACAGTTTTCCTGTTAGTTTAGTCAAAGCATATGTATGAGACTTGATACGTCATAAAATAAGCTGCTCTCTGATTGGCCCGACTGTTAGGTGTTAGGGTTTGATAGCCAATCGGGTACAGTCTTGCAAGTACCTTCAGGGTTAAAGAGTATAAAGATCACACATCCTGGTAACAGCAACAAGTTCCTACTACTGTAAAATACTTAATTTTAGCTGGAATTAATTTTTGCTGAAAAAACTTGTTGGGTGTTGTGTATAGTATTTATTTTCACGGATTTTTGACAAGTTGAATGTAAAATACAGAAAAAAATGTATATTTGCTGGATTTTATTTTCACTAAATCATACCTTCAGCGAAAATTGCGAAAATTAATTCCAAGTGAAAGTTGATGATTTTTGATCTTCAATGATAACTGGTTGCATTTCATAGAAAAAAAATTGAATAATTTCCATTTACCGGTATAGTGAGAGCCCCCCCCTCCAATAATCAGGATGTTTTGATCTTTATGAGTCACTAAAACCATGTCTGTAGTGTAGCCAACATCCATGACGTATTCTGTCTGTCACTCAGGTGTGAAAATATCTTTAATCTGCTTGTGCATTCTGAGAATACCACCCACCATTCCAACTAAAGAAACTCACTCCCTTGTGACCATCTACTTCATCAGTGCAGAATACACTTGCCCACCCTGAAGGTATTCTCACTA